TCGGTCCTGCGCCTTAACTCTCACCGGTCGTGCCGAGTAGCCGTCCCACCGGAGTATGAGAGTGACAGGAACAGAGAGTGTACGTTTTGTCTGCGCGTACTCTTGAGCACTATAATATCTCCTGCGCAGTTGGCTAGTCTCAATGAGATTGGCCGCCGTGGCCCGAATCGGTCAGGAGATCATCATCATCAGTCTATCTATTCCATACTAACCGTTAAAACGTACCTAGGGACGAACCCGAGCGAAGCGAGCGTGAGCCGCTAGTAATATAGATTACTGTAATTTATTTGTCTGTAACTTCCATGAAAATATCGTGGGAAAACATAGACAAACCCATAGAAAATGGCTTGTATATACCATAAAGTCATACTTTCCAAGACTATTAAGAAGATTAGTATGTCATCCGCATAGGAAGACATAACAATAGGTTCTATTTCCGTTTGGAGTGCAGATACATAATGGCCTACTGCTTTCTCTCCTCAAAACATACTTGGTACAATATATCTCCGGATCTACTGAACCGATTTAGATAAAATTTGGTAAGTAGATAGTTTGAGACCCTCGGAAGGACATAGGATACTTTTTATCCCGGAAATCATCCTTTAAGGGGGTGAAAATAAAGATATTATAAATACAAAAAGCACCTAAGTGCACAAGCTAAGTGAGGATAAGGCTAGCGCCTGTATAGGTTAAAATTAGCAATATTTACTCAGAATTTTTCATGTTACACGAGTATGATTTAATTGGTTAAAACATACGTACATAAAACATTGTTTCGTGACAAACATACATAATAACAAAATCGAAGTATTAGTACCTATATAATTGACAGTTAAATAGCAATTACGATTTAGAAAGTTCAACAGAAAAAGTAAATATAGCGGCGTTTAAACTAGAAAGTGGCTCTCACCATTTCCTTTTATGTGTCGTTGTAGCCTAGGACAGGTATGGTGAACCTTTTCACGTAACGTACTTACCGGTGTACTTAAAAAAAATCAACACACAATAAGATTGTAAATGCAAATTTTTTTAAGTATGTTTGTCGCGTCGTTTTCTGTAACGCTTTAACAGATGGAGATAGATATATCCTTTTTTTTCACATTGAAAAATGCATTTACTCATATTACTCGCATACATACAGTTACTTACGAGTATGTAGGACTCACCAGCTTGAGCAGCGGTACCCAATTTTTTTTGGCCACGGAATCCTAATTGTTTATAATTTTTCAACGGATCTCCATTTTGGTAATAAGAAAACTGATCGCGTTGTAGTTAGAATACTTTCTTGTTTGTCTTGAAAATAAAAATCATAAATGAAAAATATTAATCTTATAATAATACTAGCGACTCACCCTCGCTCCGCTCGGGTTCGTCCCTGGGGTGGGGTCTGGGAGGACCACCCTTATCCTTATCACTTAGGGGTATGAAAAATAGATAGTAGCCGATTCTCAGACCTACTGAATACGCATATAAAATTTGGTAAAAATCGATAAAGCCGTTTCGGAGGAGTACGGTAACAAACATTGTGACATAATACTTTCTTAGATTTACGCGAATGTTTGACATTATTAAATAAAACTATCTTTTCGGATTATTTCGCGGATTTATTTTGATTTTTGGTTCCCGACGTTTCGAATGCTTTACAGCATCCATGGTCACGGGAGAGACTGAGGTGTTACATGTCTTAAAGATATAGTTGTTACAGACAGCCTGCCCACAATCAACAAAATGAAAATTGCACCAATTACATTACAATATTTTAACATTAAACATTTTTATAATTTTAATTATAATTGAATATGGAAAATTATTTATTTAATTTTTGCTATTATTTTTATAATTATTACAATTTTAAAAATATTAATTAGTAATCTATATTTAGTGTTGCCATTATTATATTTATAACCATAAAGAAAAATATAAAATATAGTATTAATTATTTAAGCCATATAATTGTTCAATGTGTAATTTAAAAAGTTAAAATTAATGAAGGATAATAATTTTAATTTAGTTTGCTATTATTTAAAAACTTTTATATTTTATATATAAGACTAGCGGACCCGACAGACGTTGTCCTGTCTACACGTCTTTAATTTGAAAATTTCAAACTTTTTTTAATGATTTTTTTGATGAAAATTATTATTCAAATTGTGAATCTAAACCATTCCCAGATCCCCTTGAACACACACAAAAAATTTCATCAAAATCGGTCCAGTCGTTTGAGAGATGTTCAGTGACATACACACTCACAGAAGAATTATATATATATATATATATATATATATATATATATATATATATATATATATAAAGATTTATTGTTCTCAAAAAATATAACATAACGATATAATATGATGAATGATTTTTTTACATACTTATTTATAATAACATTAAAATTAGGCTTTATGTCTGACATCGTTTTGTTTAATTCTCGGTCAGAACTCGGAACCCCTGTGGTCCTTCCACGAAACCCTAGGGTTCCGCGGACCACCATTTGGGAACCGTTGAGCTAGAGCAGTTGGTACTACCCACTAAAACCCAACGAAACCTACCCCGTCTTAATGAGGCGTCCCAGGATCGCTTACGCACTCAACCACGACGCCCCGGATGCCTGCTGTAGCAAAACACAACAACCAAGGAGTTAGCTCCCACGCTCCACTCTGCTATCAGAGCAGTCCCATCCCTTTATGATGAGATTTTTTTTTTGTATCGACAAAATCTTAGAGGAGCCACATGGCCATCGATAAGCCATCTTGACTGAAAGTTGGTCAGGATGATATACCCCAAATTAAATCCACATTTACTCAATCAATATTTTTATTTCAAATACCATAGGTTTTTCTCCGCTGGCCTTATACTAAACCTGCAGTGTCACTTCTAAAATTTTGTTTCACTTATGAAAGTATTTAAATAGGATGGTATCGATATTTGACTGAATTGAAATTAAATGATGATTTAATAGTATCGATGTCAAATACGTTAGAGAGTATTTTTTGACCGACTTCGAATAAGAGTATGTGCTAAAATCAGATGTACATAATATGTTTTATTTGTACGTATTAGGCGATGAATAAGGTTTCGAATGTTTTACAGCAAATATGGTGGAATTATTTCCAAACTGTGAAGCTCAATTATAATAACTTAGGTTATTTGGTGGCATTTTTATTTGCTTATATCATTTCTATAGTTTTTGTGAGTCAAGTACCATATGACTCACTCTCACTTCCCTAGGGTTCGTCCCTAGATTGATTATCCCATAATAACTTTCATCCCCATTTTTACCCCCTCAAGGGATGATTTTCAGGATATAAACTATCTTATGTCCTTCCCAGGGCCTCAAACTATCTTCTTACCAAATTTCATCTTAATCGGTCCAGTAGCTTCGGAGCTTATTCGGTACAAACAAACAAAATCTTTCCTCTTTATAATATTACTAGGTACGTTTTAAATAGATATAAATAGTTATAAGCCAGCGTTAGCCATATAATTTTTACGTTTTTTTTCGTTAATTTTTCTGATGTTTTAATACGTATTATCCTATTCCGGACTAAGATAAATCCAAAAAATCATTAAAATTGGTCCAGCCGTTCTCGAGTTATAAATGGTGTAACCAACACGGCTTTGTTTTATATCTATATATACATAGATATTATAGATAACTAAAACTATTGAGACGTCAAAAACCATAATCTCTCCCATGACCATTATTATGTAGTTCATCGTTATCGTCTTATCGTTGATTTTTGAAAATGTATAAAGTGACGTGAAAAATCTATTTGAATAAAGTATATTTTGTTTTGATTTGTTCGCATCATTAGCATGTAATATCATATGTTACAAACAAACATACATTTATTTTAAACTAGCATTACCCGCGGCTCCGACCGCGTTCAGATGACCAATAACTTTGTATTTTTTCTCAGAAATGAGACATTTTCCCGCGGTAAAAAGTATCCTATATGTTTACCCGGATAACCAGCTATCATCATACCGAATTTCATCAAAATCCCTCCAGTGGTTTTTCTGTGATGCGGTAACAGACAGATAGATAAAAATTCTAAAACTACAGATTCGGCCTCTGTGTCGATAATAATGTTTATTTCGAAAAGATTTTCGAAAAAATATTTAATGTACAGATTCGGCTTAGTTACAATTTTATTATATGTATAGAATACGTAAACAAACATACGTAAATAAACAAGTTTTTTTATATGTATTACGAGTATATAAGCGACTAAATTATTGTATTACATGCGAAGTTTTTAACAGATTTTAACTGTTCATAGTGTATCTAATTTACCGGTTGTATGGTGAACGGGTGTTTTATTTTGATGATGTTTTGTTCAGAGGATGGATTTCATGGCATTATAATTTAGTTTAGAAAAAATGTTTTTGTTGTATATTTTGATAGATCATAATAACTATTTTAAAAAATGCAAAAATGGATTATAATTTTGCTTTATTCCTCTGTCTGTCTGTACGCAACATGAACGTAACTTAGTAAAAGGTAATCGCTTCTTAAGCCTCGGGTCCCCACATGAAGGCCACTGTTGTAGACACAATAGGTGCTTTAAAGTTTTTTTTTTGTGATGATATTGATGAACCATTTTTGGGGTCGGTAAATTTAGCAAACTTAAGGGAGGGAGGGAGTCCAGTGGGGTATTCAGAATACCGTATTCTATAAGGGTTCCGTTGTTGTCTTTTGGCTACAGTGCCTTTAAAGAGAGAGTCTAAAGCACTTGTTTAATTTCTTTATAATATTATTAGAAGCTTTCCACTCCTTAATTACCCCAGGCTTTTAAATCCGGCACTGATATTGGAGATAAGAACAACAGGGCTACAGCCCCTTTGTATGGTGTACTCATGGTATTAGCAAAAAAAAAATTAGTTAAACGGAGTTAGTTATTATGAGATGGATACTAATAATATATTATGTATTTTAAATTTAAATCTTCCAATTGTTTGGTAGTGATAAATCAAAATATTTTTTTTATTTCCAGGATCAGAAAATATACGACGTCCCATACGAAACACCACGTCTTCCCACTTCAGAAGTTCAAAAAACAGAGTTCCAGAAGTTAAGAGAGAACTTTGAAAATGCAGTGCTGAACCAGAAAACAGATGGAGAGAAAGAAAAGCAACCACTTAAACCAATTTTAAGCGGAAAAGTCTGGAAGTCAACAGAGAATGTGTCCAATGATTTCAAAGTTCTACAGAAGAATATAGAGAAGAAATTCGCGACTGAAACCAAGAGGTATAAAAAGAACGACAGCAAATTAGCCTTCAGTGTTCCCAAAAGAGATGCTCAACTAGACGTGGATAGAGAGAATGTAAGTATTGTAGGTTTTATATTTAACTATACGATTTACAATTTTATGTTTTAACGTTTAGTATAGATTTCTCAGAGATGAGATATTTTCCCGCAGTAAAATGTGTCGTATATGTTGGCGCGGATAGCCGGCTATCATCATACCAAATTTCATCAAAACTGTCCACTGCTTTTCTCGTGATGTGGTCACAGACAGACAGACAGACACAAATTCTAAATACTATAGATTTGGCCTCTGTATCGATAATAATGACTATTTCAATAAGATTGTCCAAAAAATATTTAATGTATAGACTAGCGGAATCCGGTAGGTAGACGTTGTCCTGCCTATCGGTTTATTTAAAAATTCTCGTCAACAGTGCGACCTACCGTTCCAACTAAAGCAAAGAACAAACATTTTATCAAATATACAAAAATTATATAATATACAAAAAAATTATCAAAATTATTCAATCTGTTCAGGATAAAAGAATTGCGAACACACACACCGAAGTATTTATTATAGGTATACAAGACTTAGGGATTTCGCGTTTTTATAACCGAAGAAGTTGGATTTCAACCCCGAGTCTCCTCCATGTGCCATTTAAATGTGATGACCATTTGCGTCCTGCCTGCTCGTCTGACATCCAAACTATCCAAACCTGCGCGTCTGACAGAACCTACCTAGTGTTCATAAGACTTGTGAAGTCTGCTAACCCACTGCACAGTGGTGGACTTTGTCCTATATCCCCTCTCTTATTGAGGGAATCCCCGTGCCCAGCAATGGGACGATAATATAACTGAATATGATTCAATACTATCATTTTACAACGTCCACGATCAACAAAAATGACTCAAACATCAGTTTCCGGTTTATGAGTACTAAAACTTTAGATATCACTGAATATGTACTATGTACTCTACTCAAGATTGAACTTACGACCTTTACATTGCCATGTCCTAAAACCGTTGGGTTCTTGCGTCTATGTTTTATTTGATATCATTGTCTTAATGAACATCAGTATAAGAAATAGACGTACAATTTGCTTGTACTAAAATGTTTTTTACGTCATACAAAATAAGGTTGAAACATAAACACGAGTGTGTATAGTAACTTAACAACCATGAAAGAAATGGTAATAGGAATTTTCGATGAGAGCGACAGAGACAGCGATATACTATCACTCAGTCTAATTGTTTTGAGTAGAGATGAGGCCAAAAGTGTTAAGATGTTTTTTTTTTTAATTTTGACACTTGTCTTGCCATTTCATGTTCGTCTGTATGTATGTTTTTTTTTATTATCATCTTTAATCTATTTTACAAGGGATTCTATTTTGTGAATAATACTTTTACAAAACTTTATTTAATAAAAGACCTATATAAAATAATGTACATATTAGTATAAAAAATACGTCGAATTTCTTGTTTAAAATATAAGAAAAATTTCAAACCAAAGATGGAAGAATTATTATAGGTTAATTTGACATCGACATTCGACATTTATTTTTAAATATATTAAGTGCTTATTGGTTAAATAAAAATATTTAGCCAATGTTACCAGACTTTCAAAAGTGTTTGCGTAATCATATACATAATTGCGAATTTAAATCGTTAAAAGTTATATAATACTGCTTTCTTTGGATGTTGGTTAACCCTGACCGAGTTGTGAAGTCCTTGATGGAAGTCAGGCAAAAAGATTTTAATAATACCCAAATATGTTAAAAATTTATGTTTTTTAGTGCCAGTAAATTTATTTACTTACAATTTTTATGGCAATAAATGTTTATGGCCGACTGCGCGACGTAAAGGAGTGTAATGTGTTTATCAGTCTATGTATGTTTGATCCTACGTGGCGTTCTAGAGACCGTGAGCCGATTTTGATGATTCATACATCGTTAGATTCGTCTTGATAATGCGAGTGACATATTCTATATAAAAATTGTTAAAAATTAAAATGGATTTGGGGCGCCAATTTGTGCGTCTTAAAAAAAATCTTCCGAACCAATCGAGTACGGTATCAAAATAAAGGTTTTTGAGAGGCGATCACAAAAATATAAACACCTCATATGTTTAAAAGTAATTTAACTTCAAATGTCTAATTGGCAAATACGAAAAAGCTGTAAATAAAAAAAAATATAAACATAAAAAAACCCGACTGCATAAAAGCTAACTAAAAAAACTTTTTAACAAAAAATAAAAACCGACTTCAAACAAAAGCACTAAAAAGTAAAAAATAGCTGATTGGTAGTTTTCATTTACTATACATACGTAATCAAATATTTTCGAAGTCGGTGTGCTATGAACGGAAATACTTGCAAAGTTTCAAGTCAATATGACAATTAGAAGTAGTTTAAATTCATCATTAGTTGTTTTTCCACCCTTAGGGGTGGTATTTTTGTTTGAAATTTAAATGGGACCAATCTGGAAGTATACTCTTTCAAACAAAACAAAAATTGTCCAAATCGGTTAATAAATGACGGAGTTCTGAGGTAACAAACATAAAAAAAACATACAGTCGAATTGAGAACCTCCTCCTTTTTGAAGTCGGTTGAAAAGATACAAAGAAGTTGACGATGGATTATATAATTATGCAGTCGAAGACATACACGCACATATATCTCGCGGTAAGGATGAAACGTAATAATGCTAGAAATGATTCACACATGAAAATATCAGAGGTGCGAGACCTGGAATTTGAACTCGCTTCACTCGGTTTTCCAGGCGAACGCGTTACCACTGGGCTACCACTGCCTTCCAGAATGGTTACAAGCTATAATTTATGAATATTATAATATATTTAAGGAACTTTTATGCATATAAACAATCATTTCAGACCTACTTTTATTGTTAACCGTACTTGCATACATACGTAGTACGTACAGTCTATTATCTCTGACTCACGTAAAAATGGCACGGAATATCTATAGCGTGGGACTACATGACGTCGTTCTGATTGAAAATAATTAAAAAATAATGCTTTATATGTGTTTATGTTTTAAGAATTCATAATATAAAAAAGTTTTCAGTACTTACATTGTTTAGAAATATAGAAAATTAGTGAGGAATATCGAAAAAGATCTAGTTATATGTATGTATGTGCTAGCGGCTTACCCTCGTTTCGCTCGGGTTCGTCCCTAGTTACGCTTTAACGGTTAGTATGGAATAGATAAACTAAGTATATATTATATTACTGCTCCGCTCCCTTTGATAGTAGCATGATGATATATAGCCTATAGCCTTCCTCAATAAACGGGCTTTCTAATTCAAAAATATTTTATCAAATCGTATTAGTAGTTCCTGAGATTAACGAACTAACAAACAAACTATGCCTCTTTATAATATTAGTACATATATATATATATATAAAACTAACTAACCAATATACGTTGTCTTGTTCCAATTTCTGTACGTTTGTCAAACTTTGAGTTCATAAAAAAAGCACTTCTAACAAGCACTTTCAGTTTTTTCTTTAATTTCCCAATTCTCGAGCAGTTTTTTAATATATTTTTTTCTATTCTACAATCTATTTACATAATAAGTTTTTAAATTTTCCATAATTGTATAATAACACTACGGGACATAAACGCGTCGATTCGTTAGTGGCTAACTACATTTATCCCGACGTTTCGACTGGGTTGCACCAGCCTTGGTCCCGGGACTGTTTACAATTTACATATTATAAATTAAAAAAAAAACCTCTACGCAAATTAATTGTCATTTAACGATTACACTGGCACGTGTGAAGCACTTAATCGAGTAATCATACGCCAATATGCTTTAAATCATTTTGGAAAAGAGCTGATACTCTTACACTGCTGGCCCGTTATTAACCAAACATAGCTAAGAACTACAAGGAAACTGACTTTTAAATGAAAAAAAAAATCGCATCGAATCGGTCCATCCGTTCGAGAGCTACGATGCCACAGACAGACATCCACGTCAAACTTATAACACCCTTCTTTTTGCGTCGGGGGTAAAAAACAACTTGTAACATTTCATTTCTATCTAACAATTGATCTAATCACACCAATAAAATGACCAATACATTTCTATCGCATTAGTAATGTTTTTTAACATTGTTGATAAATCAAACAATCTTGATAATGACTTACGGTATTTTTGTGTATTCTTATTGAAATTTTAGCCAATTTTGTGTTGAATTTTAAGTAAGGTTATCTATACTTCTTTCTATACTAATATTATAAAGAGTTAAAGTTTGTGAATTGTGAGTATGTGACGTTGTAGGGGGTAATCTCTGGATTTACTAAACCGATTTAGATAAAATTTGGTGAGACGATAGTTTAAGACCCTAGGAAGGATAAAGAATACTTTTTATCCCGGAAATCATTCCTTAAGGGGGTGAAAATGGAAATGAAAGTTTGTATGGGGAATCAATTTAATTTAATTTAAAAAAAAATGTTTTAAATCAACATCAATCAACCATTGTATCTAAATTAAATATTTATAAGCACTGTTTATTTAATTATCTAATAAGTCACTGCGATATTATAAAATAATGAACTTTTATTTCAATAATGAGATGAACAAAGAAATTACTCGTTTTCATTATAATAGTACGAGTAATTAGTTATCGCCCACACAACTGAGATTTTCCTCTAAAATGCCTTCAGAAAAACACCATGTGAACCCACCATAATAAAACCCAAGGATTCTAACTCGCTTAGTTGAAAACGGTTCGCTGGACAGACATGTCTTCAGCGCCATTTCGTAAAAAAACAACTAAAACACACCTAAATGTCACTGTTATTTTTTAAATGTCAATTTTTTGACAAATAGGCAAAGGTATATAATTTTAGGGTTTACTAAAATAGTGTAGTGACAGATAATTAATATTATTTTGAATTATAATATATTTTGTGTGTTTGTGTATAAATTAAAAATGTGTTAAAAACAACGCGATCAAAGATTAGAAGTGACGTGATTTCAATTATTACATTTAGATGTTTTAAATGTTGTGAAGGAAACGTGATTGCATGAAATAATAACAATGGAGTCGATTGT